TCTTTCCTTCTCTTTTTCTCTTTCTTTTAATGTTTTTCTTTATCCTCTCAGATAGTGTCTCAGCAGGTCCACACTATTTGGCTTCAGAATTGTTAGGCTCCATCTGGGTTTTTCTCAATTTCTTATTATCACAGAATTATTGTTTGCTAACTTATCATAAAATATTTTATTTTACTGCTGCTTTTATGAATCTCAATTCATTCTTTAAATTCTCCTTTGATGATGATAATGATAATAGGAACAATGATAGATATATTTAGTGAGCTCTTAGCATGTACCAAGCCCTAAGTGAAGCATGTTACATAGACTAGCCCCATGGGCTAGTTGACATTTTCTCACAGATAAGAAACTAAAGTTTATGGAATTTTAATAACTGTCCAAGAAACTATAGCTTATGAATTATGAAACTTTAAAAATTTTTTAAAAGATTTTATTTATTTATTTTTAGAGAGGGAAGGGAGGGAGAAAGAGAGAGTGAAACATCAATGTGCGGTTGCTGGGGGTCATGGCCTGCAACCCAGGCATGTACCCTGACTGGGAATCGAACCTGCGACACTTTGGTTCACAGCCTGCGCTCAATCTGAGCTATGCCAGCCAGGGCTGAAACTTTTTAAATTTTTTAATGTAAAACATTTTAATAGTTTTTCAAATATACAGTTACTAGAATTATCTAAATATCACTTATAAAAATTGGTATATCACATTAGATGATTCTATAAAATAAACTCCCACTTTGACAACAACTCCTGAAGTCTGAGAATACCCCCATTGATAGTACAAATTACAAACACATTTAAAAAGAGATATTTAAACCAAAGTAACTTTCACCAAATACATTCATTCATCTACTAAAACAAACAAAAGCACAGTCACTAATAACACAGTTTTAGGTGCAATTCCACATGCTTTATAAATCTTCTAGTACAGCTCCCATACATACTAAAGTGTCTTTGTGCATGCCATTTTCATATGCAGATACATCGTACATCATACTTAAGACTATTTCACTTCATAAGTAAGCTTGTTAATATATATTATAAGTGAACAATAGGCCAAAATTTAACCCTTTAAATTTTTTTCATAAAAATCATTTTTTCATTTCAATCATTATGAAAAAGTTGAACCATTAAAAAGAATTCTTGAGTATATTCTAATTTGTTTAATCACATGAATACTATTTCCTCTTACTAGTTGCTATCAAAATAATAATTAAACATTAACTCCCCTAAAGTGGAAACTCTAACCTTCCTAAAATGTTAACTACCATTGTAAGTAATAAAATCATTCTTTAAGTCAAAAAGTAGTTTCACATGCATTGCCAAATTTAACATATCATTGCACTGAAGATAAGATTGAGGCCAAAAACATTTGTATTAAATTATAAGGTCCAATGTAAAGAATGTGCAGTAATTTGCTTGTGAAAATATAATGGATATTTGTAAATAATTATTTTTTGTGTGTTAAGGGCTTCTCTGAGGACAGATTCCCTAGAGAAAATTACAACAAAGAAAATGAATGTTTTTAGATCAGTCATGTTTTTAATTACTTTCGAAAACACCTTACAAACTTACTCCCCCACCAGAGTATCTCTATTTTGCTGCATCCTGTCTAAGTTCTCTTTTTGTAAATTGCCATAAAATTTTATTCCTATAATTCTTTTTAAAAGTATATTTTATTGATTATGCTTTTACAGTCTTCCCAATTTTTCCCCTTTCATACCCCCTCCACCCTGTATCCTCAACCCTCCAGCATGCCCCACCCCTTAGTTCATGACCATGGGTTGTACATATAAGTTCTTTGAGTTCTCTGTTTCCTATACCATTTTTGATCTCTCCCCAAATCTATTTTATGCCTACCAGTTATGCTTCTTCTTCCCTGTACCTTTTTCCCCTAGCCTTCCCTTCCCCCTCCCCATTGAAATCCCTCCATGTGATCTCCTTTTCTCTAATTCTGTTCCTGTTCTAGTTGTTTGCTTAGTTTTTATTTTCATTGTTTTTCTTTTCTTTTAGGTTCATTTGTCAACAGTTGTGAGTTTGTCATTTTACTGTTCATATTTTTTATCTTCTTTTTCTTAGACAAGTATTTTTAACATTTCATGTAATAATGGCTTGCTGATGTTGAACTCCTTTAACTTGACCTTATCTGGGAAGCACTTTATCTGCCCTTCTATTCTAAATGAGAGCTTTGCTGGTTAAAATCATCTTGGATGTAGGTCCTTGCCTTTCTTGACTTTGAGTATTTCTTTTTAGCCCCTTCTTGCCTGCAAGGTTTCTTTTGAGAAATCAGCTGACAGCCTTATGGGAACTCCTTTGTAAGTAATTGTCTCCTTTTCTCTTGCTGCTTTTAAGATTCTCTCCTTATCTTTAATCTTAGGTAATGTAATTATGATGTGCCTTGGTGTGTTTCCCTGGGTCCAGCTTTTTTGGGACTCTCTGAGTTTTTGGACTTCCTGGGAGTGTGTTTTCTTTGCCAGATTAGGGAAATTCTCCTTCATTATTTTTTCAAGTAAGTTTTCAATTTCTTGCTCTTCCTATTCTCCTTCTGGCACCCCTATGATTTGGATGTTGGAACATTTAAAGTTGTCCCAGAGGTTCCTCAGCCTCTCTTCATTTTTTTTGAATTCTTATTTCTTCATTCTGTTCTGATTGAATGCTTATTTCTTCCTTCTGCTCCAGACCTTTGACTTGAGTCCCAATTCCCTTCCCTTCAGTGTTGGTTCCCTGCACATTTCCCTTCATTTCACTCTTCATAGCCTTCACTCTTTCCTCTATTTTGCAACCATACTCAACCACTTCTGTGAGCATCCTGATTACCAGTGTTTTGAACTATGGATCTGATAAGTTAGCTATTTCTTTGTCACTTAGTTGTATTTTTTCTGGAGCTTTGATCTTTCATTTGAACCATATTTTTATATCTCAGCATTCCTTTTATGTAGTAAAGGGTGGAACCTTAGGTATTCACCAGGGTGGGGCAACCTATGTCACTGCATTGGAGCATTGTATGTGGGGGAGGGGTCCGAGAAGGAATGATTTCACTTGCTCAGCTCTTACTGGCTTTCAGTCACTTCCCTCACTACCAGCAAGCAAATTGCACCCTTCTGGTGTTGATTCCAGGTGGGTGGGTTTGTGTATGTTCTAGGACCCTGTGAATCTCTCCAATGAACTCTCCTGTAAGGCTAGGAGTTTCTCCTGCCACGTCAACCCCCACAGGTTTTTTCAGTCAGAGGTTTTGTGGCTTTATTTCCCCGCATTGGAATCCTGGGTTGCCTATTCTATCTCGCTCCCCAGTTGTTCCTCCCATTTCATCTTATCTGCATGCAAATGTGGGACTGCCCACTCTTCCAGCCGCTGCCTTATCCGGTCCACCAGCTGCTGTCTTGCTGTGAGTCCTCTTCACCTCAGCTGCCCATCTCTGCCCCTCCTACTGGTCTGGATGAATATTTCTTCTTTAACTCCTTAGTTGTCAGGACTTCCATATAGTTTGACTTTCTAGCAGTTCTGGTTATTTTTTGTTTTTTAAATTAGTTCATGTCCTTCCTTTGGTTGTGCAAGGAGGCGAAGTGTATCTACCTATGCCTCCATCTTGGCCAGAAGTCAGGATTACATGTACTGCATCTTCTTGATGGCAAATGATATTAGAGAGACATTGATTAGAACATAATTTTGAGTGATGAGATTTTCATTAACTGTCAGAAGCACTTTCTAACAACAGAATGAGATGCTTAATGTTAACAGGAGTACCAGTCTGGAAATAGCTACACAGGGGCTGGATGATCTTGTGTAAAGAATGTGGAGGGCAGGGGTAGTTTCCTGCATTTAGATGGAGCATGAACTTCAAAATCCCATTAAATTTTTCAACTCTTTGATTCTGTCTGTTCTGATGTTAGCTGTCCTCGCAACTATCTCCTAGAAACTTTCTCCTAGAATAGTTAGCAGAGTTGGCAGTCTGCTCCTTCACCTAATTTCATTCTCTCTATATTGTGTATCAATGGAAAGTATGCAAAGGCTATATACCTTCAGGTATATTTTAACATTTAATATTAAAATAATAATAACTACCATCTAGTGAATGCTTACCATGTTCAGGTATTGTGCTAAAAATTGTATAAACATTGTTTCATTTAGTCCTCATACCAACGCTGAGAGGCTGGGTCATTATTGTCTTGTTATCATTTAGACCAAAAAAAAGTTCCTGCATGTGATTATCCACTAGGGCTGTATAACAAATGCCACAGACTGTGTGGCTCAAACAAGAGAAATCTGTTTTCTTAGCATTCTGGAGAACTGGCGAAGTTCAGTTTCCAGTGAGGGCCTTCTTCCTGGCTTGCAGACAACCACCTCCTCACTGTCCTCATACAGCAGAGAGAGAGAAATCACTGTCTCTTCCTTGCCTCATAAGACTACCAATCCTATTGTATTAGGGCTCTACTTTTTTTTTACCTCATTTAACCTTGATTACCTCCTGAAAGCCCTGTCTCTAAATACAGTCACCTGGGGGTTAGAGATTTGGCATGTAAATTCATGGGAGAGGATTGATTTCCACTCATAGTAATGGTAGATAGTGTTTAGCTTGGCTTTAATAGAAAGATGATGCTGTTTATGTTTGTAAGACCTGAAAATGTTTGAGTTTGGAGGAAAGCATGTTTCTACTATTTTCTGGACACCTTCTCTTCCCCATGAAGAGAGGGGATATTAGGACTGTCCTGTTGGATAATAGGACTGTCTTAGTATTTGGCAGGAAAGGCCAACTCTCTTGTTGCTTTAATAAGCAACAAGAATTCAGTTTCTTTCCTGATCCTTTGTGGGGAAGCCTTTCATTACCATAATAAAGGAGCTTCTTAGGTTATCTTTAAGAGAAATGTAGTCTCCTTAGTATCCCTCTATCTGTCCTTGGATCAGAGCTGACTTCAGCGTCAACATTTAAGTTTGTTTCTCCTTTCTGTCTGCAAAACTAACTCTGTCCTCCAGAAGCTTTTGGTGACTGGTCCATTTATTTTCCAGGAAGCTAAAAAAACTATTTCGGAAGCTGAAAGATGAGACAGAACCTGGAGAAACGGACTCTGCCCATTCAAAGCATTCAGAGCAGTGGGACCGAGACTACAGCTTGGAACCATACACTGGACTGACTCCAGAGTACATGGAAATGAGTAAGAGCTTGTGATCCTTCCTTCCTGGTGCAGGTTCAGACAAGGGGTCTAGGAGAGCCGTGAGGAGAGGGGAGGGAAATGACTGGGGCAGCCACTACACCTCCCTGGGCTTTCTGGTTACCCAAAGTCATCTTCAAAAGCCACATAAAAGTTGAGTGTAAAGCAGAAAGAACCCTGGGTTGAAAACCAGGGACAACTCTTATCACCAAGTCGATACTAAGATGATGCCCTCTTCTCCTTGGGCTTCCTCTCCACATCTCCAAATGAGAAGTTTGGTCTCTCAGGTCCCTTCCCATGGCTTCTTTCATTGATAAAGCTGAAAGAGAAATAGTGAAGTCTGAAACTTAAGGGTAGAGTTTCCATTAAGGAAAAGTAAAGTAGTCCTGTGACACTTAGGACAAGGGTACATCTTTGATATGGAGAATATAGATAGAAGAGTCCCCAACTCTGATCAGGTAGGGCTGGGTAAAATGTCAACTTTTCCCTAAAAAACATGGGGCTGTTTAGTGTAGGGGGTGATAAGTAGATTTCTAGTTACTGAGCCTCTGGTTGTTCTTGGATAAGGTTTTAAACAGGGGTGCCTGTAATACAGACTGATAGAGCATGGTGGTTTTACATGTGGTTCAGAAGCCATGAGTTTCCCATTATGACAAGTATCCCTGCTTAGACCAGCTGCCCTCAAACGCTTGGCTACTTGTGAATAATCCTGATCTTTTATTGAGGTGGATATTCGAGAAGACTTGGAACTAATGAATTAAAAACAAAGGACCAAGAGGTCAGACATATCATCTAAACATTTACTCAACCCAGGGTGTTGGAGAAACATCAATCACATCCAATGAAAGAATCACTCAATACTTAATATCATTGTATTTCCATAATGACTCCTGCCTCCTTTGGTTAATCACTTTCAACAGGGGGCCACCAGTGCCTCTCTGGGCACCAGGTACTTCCCTTGTTACCGTATTTCTAATGGATATCTATTCTCTTCTGTGTGTAAAAATGTATGTATGTATGGTAAGGGTAGAGAGAAGGACACAGTCTACATTAGATGACTTCAAAAGTTCTGCTCTAGCCCTATGGACATAACATTCCAGGCAAAGCCTGAGCTTTGTGTACTAAGTAAACTCACCAGAGAGGAAACTTGTTGTGTCTGCTTCAGGAACAATAGGCAAAGAAAATATGAAGACCCAGTTTATGTAAACACATAGCTCCTTTATTCTTTTCACCTTTAGTGAAGTGCTACCTCTAATTCCTCTCCAACCAGATATTTACACAGAGATGATTACTGGTATCTCAGATGCTATTTTATGCCTGCCATCTTCTCAGAAAGAAGCTGCTGCCAGAAATTGAGGCTTCCATCTGGGAAAGGGCCTACTTGAGAAATCCTTGAGCTCTGTCTCTCAAACTCCACCATCCAATTCTAGTCCTCTACCCCCACCGCCCAATTATCTGTGTAGGTTTTACATGTTGTCTGTCTAGATAGTTGATTATTTCAAAGCTTCCTCTTTTGAGTGATTAAGAGCAGAGGCCCTTTAGCTATACTTCCTGGGCTCAAATGCTAGTGTTACCACCAATTAGCTGGGCAGCTTTGAGTAAGTGGCTAACCCTTGTGTCTCAATTTGCTTTAGCTGTTAAAAAATGATAGATAGTATCTATCTAATGGGATTGTTGTATTTTTTAAAAAAAGATGTATGTATTTATCCTTAGAGATGGGAAGAGATTTAGAAATAAAGGGAAAGAAACCTCAATGTGTGGTTGCCTCTCGAGCACTCCCTACCAGGGACCTGGCCCACAACCCAGGCATGAGCCCTGACTGGGAATTGAGCCTGTGACTCTTTGGTTCTCAGGCTGGTGCTCAATCCACTGAGCCATACCAGCCATGGCAGATTATTGTATTTAATGAATTAATATCTGTGAAATTCTTAGAAGGGTGTCTAGCATATATAAAACTAGGTTTAGTGTCAAGTGTTGTTTCTCTTAATGACCCTAGGCCCTAGAAAGGCAGAGTGTAGGGAAACATGCTTCCCTTTGTCAGCTATCATGTCATTGAATAGACAGCCCCTCTGTGTTTGAACTTGGGTACTTACAAATTAATGAGAAGAGGAAAAAAACAAAAACTAGATGACTCGGTGATTTCTGGAAGAAATTCACACTAAGAGTATAGAGAGTGAAATTCATTCTATAGATTACACACACACCCTACTTACAGAATAAGAATATAAGGGAACAAAACAATCATATTTTGAAAATAGAGAAAAGAAAGGATCATTTCCCAAAACTTTCCTCATTCACAACTTTTATTAACACTTTGGTGCTATTTCTTAGACCCTTTTTTTCTTACATGTGTGATTTTAAAAATAAAGTTGTGACCATATTCACACATTTATTTCTCTTTTTTTATTTAGCATTCTATGACTGACAGTTTCCAAGCTGTCACATAATATTCAAAAGAAATAGCTGCATAATAAATAACCCATCTCATAAATGTACCATAGTTTATAACCTATCTTCCAATGGAAGTGCATTGTAGGCTCATTTTCCAATTCTTCCCCTATTTTAATGATCTAATATGTACTAGCTTCATACATATAATGTTTTGCACATTGGAAATAGTATTATTTCCTCAAGACAGACTTCCACAGATGTAATTACTAAATTTGACATATGGCTGCTGTATGGTTCCTAATTTACTTTACCAAATTGCTTTCTGAATGCTGAGTTCACCTACCCACAGGCAATATACAAAACATCCTTTCAGTGAGTACACATTATTAAGTAACTGGAAGTCAGGTGATATGGAAGAAGTATCAGTGTGCAGTAAGCTTGAGATTCCCAGGCCCTGTGCCCACCTCATTCCACATTGTTGGCCTCAATATTTCAAACTCATCTTTAAACTTTTCCCAGTGCTTCCTCTGTGACGTCTTCCTAGACAAAGGCCTGTTTCTCCTGAGAGGAATCATTAGTTTTGTCCCAGTATTGCATTTGATACACATACTGATGGGAAAACTTGCAGAATCATGGTGATATTGATCACATGTTATCTTTTCTATTTAAAATCCTCAATATTACTGACTTCAAGAAAAGATTTAAGTCCCCTAGCCTAGCATGTAACGGCATCCGTGAGCTGACTCCTGTGTTGCAGGTCCTTCATGGTGCCGCAGAGTCGCATCTGGTTTTCCACTGTTACCAGGTCTGACTTTGCCTGTCTGCCTGCAACAAGATCTTACTGAGCTGTGCAGGCTCACACATACCTCTTGGAGGCATTTTTGGTTCTCCCATCCTCAGTTCCTCCCTTCTTTTATACTTGCTTTGATATAGGAGAAAATGTGAGGGCTTTGAGGGCAGAGATTGAGCCTTATTCCTCTCTAGTCACAACAGTCATCACAGTTCCTGAAACATAGTAAGAGTTCAATAAAATATTTCTTCAATGAAAGGCTCTTTAAATTCCCTTCAGCAGCTGGGAAGTAGAGACCCCACTTCTCTTTATTCTATGATATTTGGGTCAGCCTCCCTTTCCACTGTGGACATATTTATGTGTATTTTTAATATGCAGCAATTTTCATCTCCCAAGACCAAAGTAAACCCTGTTTATTATCCGGGTTTCCCTCAAAGAAAAGTCACTTCTGGCTTTAATTTGCTCCTTTGCCTTCAGGGATCAAGTCATTAGCGGAAGTGGACAGAACGGAATGCTCTCACTCAGACTTGCATTTAAGCTCAACTCCAGTTTCAAGTCTTTTTCTCTGTACCACCGGCCCCCTTCCCCGACCTGCCTCCAAGCCATCCCTGAGGGTAATTGTGTGTCAGGTACCCGGGACACAGAGGCAACAAATGGGCCCAGGTCCTACCGGCCTTAAGGATTTAGTGGTAGAGAGAAATGGGCAAAAAGTAGCAGGAAAGGGTCTCATTGTCATAGAAAAAAATGAAGCTGACTGCTTGCTGCAGAGAGGGGAGGTCTTTGCAGCTTTCATTTGACCAAGCACAGAGGTGTTAAAGAGAACTGTCCACTCTTGCGTTCCTTTGGCCTGTGATGGCCACTCACTGAACATCCTCAGATTTCAGAAACGTCCTACTGAGGCAGCACAGATGCAGGACTGGAAACAGCCACTGTCTCAGGCTTGTTCTTGGACTTTAGACAAGGTCAGGAAGAGAATTCATCTTAGGGAAAACATTTCTCAGCCCTCCTGGCGGGAGACTTAGTTCCTGTGACTGTTTTCTGAGTTCTCTACTACATGTTTGGCCCCACCACCTTCCAGGCCCTGGCTGAGAAACTAGTACCACATCCCTGTTCCTTCATCCTTTTGTCTCCACAGATCCTTGTCCAGCGGGTGGGTCTTTCCGCTGGAGTATCTCTGGAAGCTGCTCCTGCGGGTAGCCTCTCGGCCTCCTATACTTCATGCTTTGTCTACTATACCCTCAACACAGGCGCCTGCAAACACCAACCCACTGCTACCCTTTTTATTCTTTGTGAGGGGCAGTGTTGGTATTATCCATTGTTCAGAAACCCCTAGAGTCCCATATCCTTAACAAGGCCTTCACGGGACATCCCATCAATGTACCTAACCCTGGGCCCTTTTACGTGTCCTAGGTCCAGCCCCAGTGAACCCCACAGACCATTTCTCACCCACAGCCTGCATTTCATTCCTTTCATGCCTGACCTTGCATATTCCCCTTTGCCCTGGCATTCCCTGTGCCTTCCCATTCACGTGATCAAAACCAGCTCTAAGCCACCTCCTCTCCAAAGCACCGCCTTCCTAACCTCACTCCTCCCCAATCCTCAGAATTTTAGTCCCCTCCCCCACAGTATTTCAGACAAACTGCTTCCTAAATTAGTGATGTCTGTTCGCAATTACTTTCCTGAGGGTAGATTTCCCCATTGGCAGGGCCTTGCACTGCACTGCCACAGCCTGGGTAAACCAGTAAGGGAGCCACTGAATGACTGAATAAATGGGGCTGTCATTTATCTAGCATCCCCTTTCTCTTTCCTATGCTGAAACAAT